GCCTTTGACTTTACATATCTTTCATAGAAGGTAACAGATAATGTTACCATTTTGCTGTTACTCCATTTGGTATTATTAATTTAAACAGGAGGGTTTTAAACTGTAGTTACAAACATGGAGAATCCTTGTTCTCCTTGCTCTCAGTGTGCCCCTGGTTCAGTGAATTCAAGCTCAAGGTGTACTTGTAACTTCATCTTTAATGTGAGAAAATTATGCTTACCCAGAAGACTACTGTCCTAAATGAGGTTATGAGTATGAAATGGAAGACACACAAAAATAGTAACACTCTAATACATTTTAGTTCTATTCTCTTCCCACATGCTCCTTTCACTCTCCATTTGACACATTTTTATTCTATTAAATATTTCCATCAAATGACACAATTGGAATGTTCATGAAATTCCAATGATAATTTAACTTCTGTGTATCTCTGAATCCAGCAAAACCTGTATTACAAATTTATGTAAAAGGTCAGATATATTTCCCTTATCAAAATTGTTTTCCCAGTTTTGGTTGGGAGATTTATAGTAGTAGTCCATCCTTGGATATCTTGATCAACCATCTGCACCCATGAATTTCACACTTGCGATAACTGCCACATTTCCAAAGTCTGGCGGCTAAAATTCATACTTATTTTAAAACTCTTCCACCAATCTCCCTAACTCTTAGAGTTAAGATTTCCATCTGACATTGATTTTCGGATTTCATTGCTACAAGGGAAAAGTCTTATCTCAAGAATTCATACACTGAACACTATACCATTTTGTAAAAATACTTCAGCTCAAGCATCAAAAACAGTGACAGGGAACAGCTACTCATACTGAGATGCAGTCTTGTGTGAATTCCAATAACTATGAGACATTTTCCTACAGATTGCAGAATATAAGACACTCAAAGCTCTAACTGCTTGCATTCTATGCTATTTCATGGATAAAGGGAACTGAACATAATAGAAGGGAAATGAAATAAAATTTATAGATCAAAGATGCTTAGTAAAAGGTAATATGCATTTATGGCATGAAAACAATGTGCACTTATTCATTTCTATGCTTCTATTTTAACAATCAAGGCACGTTATGTATCCAATGACAGAAGGCCTTCCAGGAAGAGAATACTTAAATATGATAGTCCATTTAAATTCCACACCTTATTTAAAAGCTAATTTAAGAAAAATTTCAAATATGAACTATTTTCTCTAACATTTGCTTGGACATTTTTTATGCAGCTTAGAGGTAGTCATTAGATCACGCCAGGGTCTAGAAAACCTGGATCTCATTCTAGTGCTATCACCAGCTAGCTCTGTGACCTACAGCAAGCTACTCCATCTTTCTTGTCATCAAGTTATGCTTCAGTAGTATGAATATATAATCTCTATGATCCCTGACAGCCAAATAGCCTTTGAATTTTTTTGACTGAAATACTATCTTAGAGTAGTTAACCTTGTAGTTTTTGAAACTGTGTTGTGTTGGTTATATTCCAACTTTATTAATTACTACCTGTGTGAATTCAAGCAAATTATGTAACCACTGTATGCCTCAGTTTCCCTATTTGTAAAATGGTAATAATAATAATGGGGTTGTTCAAATTAAATGAGCTATATTTTAATGATTCAATATGTAAGCTTTCTTACATTTTAACATATCTTGAAGCAGGAAACGTACTAAAGAAACATAAATAAGCACTTACCAGAGTTTAATCAACAGCATTTTTTCCCCAATGGTAAATGAAACTGCAGCATGTGTTACACTAAGATGTTAAACAGTAACATCTGAACATCTTAGATTAGACAAAATTTGGTAATACATATGAAATGCTTGGGGTAATGTTTGGTACAAAAATTATCCAATAGCTGATACTATCATTTTTTCTATAAGTAAGCAATAATTGTTATATCTAAGTTAAGTGTGATGGGTAAAGTCTGATAATTTAAGAATGATTAAAAGCTTGCTAGTCATACAGACTTTGTTCCATTTTATATCTAAATTCATAATACATAACTACATTCAGATTAATCAGTATCAGTCAACAAAAAATATGACTTTCTACTTGAACAGTATAGTTTTATTTAATTAAATATTTTTTTATGATTAAAAGCTTAACATGTTCTTATTTTTACTTTACTAAGATGATTAAAGAGGGAAAGTATAAATGATGAGAAAATAAAACAGTAATATATTTACGAGGCTTACCACATTATTCAATATAAAGGGAAAAAATGTAACAGCATAGCACAGGAACCAACTTTGTAGGTTATAATCACCTCATAAATTCTCAAGAATGGTTAATACTAGATTAATAACTTTTAAGGAACAGGTTACTGCAACTAACCCCTTTGTTATTGGTCTACAGATATTAAGCATTTATATAGAAACCCTGTCTCACAGAACACTTTATAGCACTCCAAAGCTGGCATGACTTCTGTTTCCAAGTTTTATTTTCTTAGAAACATCAGAGATTTTCACTCTGCGTTAAAAAACAAAAGCATATACTTACTAAATTAAGTATATTATGATGAAAAGCAATCTAAAGTCATCAAGGGCAAAATGTAAATGATGGCCACATAGATACATAAAAAGCTTGACACAGACCCTGGCATAGAATAGGTGCCACAAAAGTGTCATCTGTCAATATCATCATCTTTATTTAGTATCACAGAGCACTAGAGAGAAGTAGGACCTTAGAGATGACCTAACTGGGAACTGCTGAGACTGTAGTGGACCTGGAATATGATGGTAAAGTGAGAATTTGTGGAATAAAAATTTCCCAAAATAATTTATTTTCCTTTGTTTATCAATATAACACAGTAGATTTCTTTCACTATTCTTTGATAACTAGACTCGTAAGTCAACATGATAACTCTATTATTTTTTTTTTCTTATCCACATTCTCTAGACAAATAAACTCTGTACAAACTGTGTTCTTGTGCTTTGGGTCTTATAAAATACCTAAGGAAGAATAAAAATACTGTTCATGGAAACTTATTTTAATTATAGCTCATTTAAATTCTCTACAAAAAATTGGGAAATACTCAGGATTTCAATGGCTTTCAGAACATTCTATGTGGGCTTTGAAAATATTTACATAGTTTTTTATATATGAACAAAACTTATTTATTTTTGCCATAGAGTGTTATTATGTTATTATTGGGTGAAATAAAGGTGATTCATGGGAGAAATTTCCATGTTCTACACACCTGAAATATACATAGTGATGATGAAAAATAAAAGGGTTAAATTACAGTTCTTCTCTCAACCATCAAGTGATTGAGATTTTGGAGAAAGAGAGCAAATAAAAGCAAAATAGGAAGAAGAATATATGCTATAGGTTAGAAGGATGTTTCTGACTAGTTAGATCCACACAAAGAAAAATAAAAAGTGTAAAGGAAGTATTAAGGGATAAAACTATCCAAAACACCACTTTATCCTTTTTCCACCTCATTGAATAGTTAGAAAAGAAGGTGCTTATTCCATCAAATTTCTATTAATCAAAGTAGTTTCTCTGACCTACATTACTGCTGGGAGGTTTGAGAAAGATAGATCCCTTTACTTGGCAAAAACAAGTGCAAAAATCCTGTACTACTAATAATAATCAAAATATTTTAAATACCTTTAAGGAAATGTGGGAAAAACCTAGCTTCAATGAGAAAATAGAATACATAGGACACACTAACACTCACACATACATATATACATATTCATATTATCTATCTCTCCATCATCTATCTACAATCTATATGTTAAGACTATAGAAATACATGAAACAAATTTGTATGTATTAATATTAGAGTTAACTATTGAAATATAATTCCTTAAAAATTGATATTCTATTGTACAATGTGAACATACTTAACACTACTGAATAGTAACTTTAAAATGATTAAAATGGTAAATTGTATGTTATATTTCAAACCACAGTTTTAATAAATTAAAAGAAAGGTAACATATGCCTCCATCAGAAAGGATGAATACCCAACTTTGTATCAACATGGACAGGACTGGAAGAGATTATGCTGAGTGAAATAAGTCAAGCAGAGAGAGTCAATTATCATATGGTTTCACTTATTTGTGGAGCATAAGCAATAACACGAGGACATGGGGAGATGGAGAGGAGAAGGGAGTTGAGGGAAATTGGAGGCCGAGAAGAACCATGAGAGACTGTGGACTCTGAGAAAAAAACTGAGGGTTTTGAAGGGACGGTCAGTGGGAGGTTGGGTGAGCCTGGTGGTGGGTATTATGGAGAGCACATATTGCATGGAGCACTGGGTGTGGTGCATAAACTATGAATTCTGGTACACCGAAAAGAAATTTAAAAAATTTAAAAAAAAGATAAAAGAAAGGTAACAGATTTTTGCATCCACCATTGTTAGAATAATTGGTACTGGAATTCCCCTCCCAATATAGAAAAAAAAAAAGAATAAAGAATAAAATATGCGTCTTTTACATTTTACAATGGATGGACTCATTAAGGAAAAAGAAAAGTAATTTTTATTTTAAATCCAAATACACAAGGAAATAAAAGATCAAGCTGAGAAAAGGCAGGAAAAAAGGGAAAAGATTAATGGCAATTCCAGCTAACTTGCTCATATTGAGCAACACTGTCTTCTTTATCTTCCTTAAGTATAGGGGATGAAGCAAATCAGTCTTTCAACCAACAGATGTTCGTATCTTTGAGCTCAACTAATAAAAATTAACCAATTAGGAATCTTTAACTCCAAAAGAAAGTTGCTCATTACTTTCTCCCAAACTCAGTAATAATCAACACTTTGCATTCAATGACAAAGAACAGCATATTTAATAGCTAGACTATTATCAAAGAGGAAAAATATTACTTATCTTTTGTTCTAAAACTGTATGTTGTTTAAAAAAGTACTAGTATAAAAATATGAAAATAAAAGAGGATGGCAAAGAAGATATTTATTATAGTTAACTCAGACTATATAAATCACTAGGAAAATACAAATTGCTCAGTACTAACATGGTCTCTATAGAGATACAGCATACCTCGTAATGGCTTTCTTCATTCTCCTGAATGTGGAAACCCGCAGAGCTGGGACATTTCTGAGGAGTGACAGGAATATTGTCACTTTTGCTGTGTGAGTTACACTGAAAGAGATTACCAAATAATTGTGACAAACTACTCCACATTTAGAGTGTCTACTGAGAGACATGGTTGTTTGCTAAGAGTCTAATTAAAGGAGTACCATTTGAACTAGCAAGTGTCTAGACTCATACTAACATGCATTAATATGGAGACTTTCAAAAAAAAAAAAAAAGATTAAAAATATCCCCAGGATAAACAAATTGTCAGAATGTTTTAAGTGAAATGAAAAAAATCTTAAGTGTAGTTATTTTATTTTTACCCTGTCTCCTTTTAAGCTGTATCATTATGCTTATGATTTTAGTAGCTAAATCTTACATGATGCTACTATTCGTGTGAGGTATTATCTAAGTGCTTGATATATATCATACACAACTTGACATGAATATTATTATTATCCCCATTTATAGGTAAGGAAAACTAGGCATACAAACTATTCTTCCTAAGATTGGGCTGCCTACCCAAATTTCCGGGAGCACACCTCATGCCTTATCTACTACATGCACAGCCTTTATAAATGATACATTTGAAGCAAACAAAAGTGAAAAACTTAAAGTTTAAGGTTTTGAAGTATTCACTTTTCTTCTTTACCAATACCAAGTATTTTTTGAAACAGGTTAACTAAAATAATGCACTTGGAAAAGGATGTGAATTGTACAATGTAAGACATTAAATTATGGCTTGACCTTTCTCCATGAAAATACTAAAATGGTTGTTTTCCATATTCCTCATAAGATTTTTTTATGCAAAAATAAGATATTATTCACTTCCTGTTATCCTTGCTTCCTTCTTTCCTAAATCTCTTAATTAGATTCAGGGCAAGACATATTTATAAGTATTTGCAGTTTTTTATTACATGTAATGTTGGAATTTCTAAGGCTTCTACATTAATGAAAGATACTGTAGTGCTTCCGAAAAAGGTTCACCATTGGAATATAACCTTCACTCTTTCAAATGAACAGATTTGTATGACATAAGTAGGAAAGATAATATTTTTTCATACTAGTATGGCACGTTTTCAATTAACCAGTAAAATTTTACTTTCCCCATGCCAAAAAATAATGTTAGAAAATGACTATCAAAGACATTTTAAAAAGTGAATTAATTTTTGAGGCTAGTGTTAAGTTCAGTATATTTTCACCTCAAGGCCACTATTTTATATATTTAACTGTTTTTAAACACATTACATTCTTTTAGACTTGTTTTGAAATACTTTTAAACACAGAAAAGGGGCCAAAACACCAAAAAAGAATTAATACTTGAAAAATATCAGTCGAGTATCTCATGGTTAGTTTAAGGGAAAAAGCAATAGGACAGACTAGGAAAACATGACTCTCAAAACCCTATCAGAAACCTTTCTGCATGAAAAAAAAAGATACATTGTTTCTGTCCTCTGTACAAATAGTATCATTTCAACCATGTTCAAAACTTACCTCCTCTAGGAATTTTCATGGGTAAATAAGCAAATAGCAATAACCATTTTATCCTCTGCTTGTAATCTAAGTAACTTCTAAATGAAGTTTCTAAAATGCTGCTCTACCAGTTTAATTCCTGGGATGTGCCTAGGTTTGTCTGAACAATGTCACTTAATTATGAAGGACTATCTTTCATATTTCTCCACAGTGACTTCCTTTGATTTCTAAGGAAAACAGCTTCGACCTTAAAACAGTTATTGTCATCTATGATGTTTCCTAGACATTTTAATCATCCAATGCTTGTTCCTAGCCTCTCCTCTTATCTATTCATGCTGATGAATCTTTATAAAACATTTCATGTCTTATGCAGTGTTTCTCCCTAGAAACATTTCAATACATCTGGCCTGATAGTGGCTCTCACCCTGGCTGTATATTAGAATCACCTGGAGAGCTTTAAAAAATACCAATAACTGAGCCCTACTTCACACCAGATGAATTAGAACTCAGGCAAAAACATGGTTTAAATACCCAGGTAATTATAATATGCAGCCGGAGTTTAGAATCCCTAGGTTAACATTTCTTTGTCTGATGCTCAGGACAATATAGCAAAATTTGGCCTCACTCCTCTTTTGATCTGATCTCTTGCTCTCTAGCATTTGTTCTTCCTTTTCCTTATTTAATGTCATATGTTGGTAGCTGTTTTTTTTTCATGGAATATATCATAATGCCTTTGAATGTGAAAAAAAAAACCCTATACTGTATAATGCTTTATACCTTTATGTACAAAATTTTACGTATTATCTACCAGAAACCTCTGCAGAGACATAGAAACAAACCTTCTTTAACAGGTTCAGATAAATTCAGTGTCTTCATGCAAAAATTTGCCAAGTAAATGCATTCCTAAGTGACAGAACTCAGGCTATTTCTCCTCTGCCATATCTCCCTTAAGGCGTTCGTTCGTTCATTTGCTCACTCATCCACATATTCTATTCTGCTTGTTTATTCATTTGTTTGATCATAAGATATATACTGAGTGCATGCTATGGGTTAGGATTTGATTGGTTCCTTAAGATATGGGATTTAATATCTATAATATTCACTCTAGCAGTGAAACCACACATAGAAATAAATAACCACCATGATATGTGAAAATACCATATGAAAATGTATGCACAGGTTGCTTAGGGACAAAGAAGACAGAATGACTAGACTCCTGCATTTGATATGTGGGAAGAATCTGGAAAGATGGGCCAATGAGCGAATCATGGTTGGCACACATTCTCAACAAAACAAACTGCATATGCAAAGGCTAGAAGACATGAATTCTTGTGACTTGGTCTGTGAGCTGCAAGGATTTTGACAGTGCTTTAACCATGAAGCCTGTGAGGACTGCTTTGAGGATAGAGACAAGTTATTACAGCATTAAATTTAACAGTGGATCCAGGATGAGAAGTTACAGAATCGGGCTTACCATAAGGGAGGACTAGCAAATAATGGGGTAAGAGCTTCACAGTGGTGGTACCAAGGGTGAGCCTGCGTCACCTTCCTCTCTCTCCCAAATTCAATAAAGAAATATAAGCAGACTGGGTGTGTTTGCAATATGACTGTAACACCTGAGTAAGTCCTCCCATCCCAACAAGATCTCAACTTTAAGCCTCTCCTGTGCATAATTCAGGGCAGCCTCTGTAAAGCAGCGAATGGCACCAAGGAAAAGTTTAACCCACTTTGCCTTCCTCGCTTTCTAAAATTTTTGCGTATTATGATGTCAATAGCTTCTGGGGATTGTAAATCTATAAGCTTGAGGAAAAAAAAAATTAAAGTAACTCTATAAACAATATTTTGAGATCAAATACTATCAATAGCTAAAACTTTAAGGAAAACAAGTTCTTAAGTGAAGAACAATTTAATCACTATGAATCCTTTCTAACAAGTTTTTATTTCAGGGAGAGCCGTAGCCTGAAATGGAAAGATTTATTATAAATGTCTCAAGATTTTATCCACTAATTTTTTTTTTCCGTTTGCCAAATTTGATACGAATAACTATATAATGATTATGGTTAAGACGGATTTGTTAAATCAGATTTCATATTGCAGACAAATCACTTGAGAGGTCCAGAGCTCAATAAAAACAATCGTATTAAATGGAAATCACTGTAAATACATTTGTTTTATACTTTAAAATCCATTTGATGTTTTTCATTACCTATGATTAATAGTCTCCATTTTAATATGTGGATAAATCTTGCTTCCCCAAAACACCCACTGTAGTTCTTGGGAAGTTGTCATTCACTACTTACAGAAATACCTACAAAGATAGGAAGGAAAAGAAATACCTACTCAAACTTGCCTCATGGTCAGGAATATTAGCCTTTCCATTTTTAACAAATTTCTAAGAAGGGAGTTCAAAGCCATGATATCAAGAGAAAAGCTATCAACAGTGGCAAAAGCAACAAAAGTTTTATGAAAAATCACAGAAGCATCACAAAAGCAGAGGTGTTTTCTTGCTAAAAAGGGGGTTCTTTACATTTTCTGCCAAACTCTATAGCAGCAACAATATGTTCTTTTATTCTACTACTCCTCCCACCTTCTTATAAAATCATTATTGTTTGCTAAAAATCAATGGCACTGTTAAAAATTTTGTGCAATCATTATAGAGGCAGTAGCCTTGTATTTTTGTGCTATAGGTTTCATTAAATAATTCCATTTGTTAAAAACTCTCACTGAAAATGTTATTCCTACCCATTTTAAGAAATTCTTTTTGTGAAGAACTATAAAATATTCTTAAAACTTTTGATTAAAAAGAGCTCTAAGGTTAATAAGAAATTCTCATTTACAGAAAAGATGTAAAGAACTGTGTGTACTTGATGTCTTGAACTTTTCTCCATTCATTCCTTTGGAGGACCCACGTGTGTCAGGTTTTTACCACCAACATTCCACTGAAATTGCTTTGTCATAACCACCAATGATTTCTACATTAGTAACTCAAAGAGAAATTCTCCGTTCTCATCTCACTTGACACAACTGATAACTCCTTTCCTTCTGGACATATTTATGTTACTAGCCTTCTAGGACACCACACACTCATGGTTTTCTTTTTACCGCTGTGCTCTCTTTCTGGAACCATTTAACTGTTCATGTTTTTATTGTTATTTAAAAAAAAAAAAAAACTGCATAGAGAAAAAGAAATCTAAGTACTTTCTCAGAAAGTATGTTGTCTGACAATGTCCTCCATTAGTTCCTGACTCTAAAATACTTCCTCAGTTAGACAAATGAACAATTTCTTATTTATTTATCTTTTTAAGATTTTATTTATTTATCTAGAGAGAGAGAGAGCATGAGCGGGGGAGGAGTAGAGGGAGAGGGAGAAACAGCCTCCCTGCTAAGCAGGGAACCCAATATGGGGACCCCAGGACTCCAGGATCATGATCTGAGCTGAAAGGAGATGCTTAACCAACTGAGCCACCCAGGCGCCTAAGAATTCTTGTTTATAAGCAGACAAGGGAAGAATTCTTAGAATGTTCCTTAACATGCTTACTTTAAAGAACATATTTTAAGAGTACTTCTAGAAACTGATGAAAATGTATAGTTTA